ATTTCTAAAAATTATTCGTAAAATTATTTTTTTTGTGACTTTCAGATTAATTAATATTATAAATAGTGGTCACCCACTTAAATACAAAAAAATAAATAATTTTACAGTTAATTATGAAATATACAAATTTAATAAATATAAATAAATTGCATATATTATTAAAAATATTAATTTAATTTGTTTTTATCTTAAAAAAATGTTAGCTTTGTTTAAAACTATCTATTATTTTGAATAGTATAATATTGTGAAAAAAAAATCATCTTGAGATATTTGTGTGAATAATTTTATTTAATAAAATTATTGTATGGTTTTAGAATAAAGATTTTGAAGTCCAAATGTATATATTATATGTATAAACATTTAAAATGGAGTACTTAATAAAATATGCAAATTCTTAAAAAATGTTTAAGAATAAATTTTAAAAATAAAAATAAATCTTATTTGTTAGTGTATTATTATATTAAAATAGACTTATACAAAATGTCAAATTACTCGAAGAAATTATCTTTTCTAGATAACTTCAACTTACAAACCAGTGGATAACTAATTTCATTCTAATTTAAAAATAAAAAACACTTTAAGTATAATTTTTTTTTTTTAATAATCAATACATTTAATTGATATAAGTCCTTAAAAGGCATTACAAATAACCTAAGTTGTAAATATTCTAAAAATATACTCTAAAATAAGCAAAATAAAATCATGTACTTATTTTATTTTACGTTTTATTAATCATATTTACGGCGGATTTGATTAGTTGGAAACAAATCAAACACTTTCAAAATCTGTACTCTAATCGTCTTCAAATAGTTTTGTAGTTTTGTGTCCCATTGGCAACATTTCCCATCACAAATCGCTCAATCATTTATATACAGATGGTTTCTGTTCAAATTTCGTATTAAAGCAAACTGTTAAACTGTTAATCTGGATTAATTTGCAAAAACGATATAGTGGTAGATTTGTTACGAATTCAGTTAAATTATGATTTATACATAAAATAATCGTACGTAGTTGTCATTTGAAAAAACACAAGCTTTAAATCGTTTTTGGACGGGCTTTATCTTACTTCACTTTCTATACAGTTGTATAGATTTTGCTGAACATCGAGCTTAGGTTTTAACACAATTACACTGGATTGCGTTGAGAAGACGACGAATTTGCCTTTACTGTATTCAATATCGTCTGTGTAATAAAGATTGTGGTAATAATACAAGACGTTCAGTTCTCTGAATTATGTTGAACCGATTAGATAAGAACAGGGTCTAGTATACACAACTGTTCGATATATATTTAAATTTTCTTTGAAATTTCTCGATTGCAGACCTTTAATATTATTATGAACAAATCATTTATACGTAGAATTTAATTCCGTTTAAGAAGATCAGATTTATTAATTAAAAATTCTAGTTAAGATAATTATAAACTGGAATTTTTCAATAGTGCATAATAATATACTTATTATATTATACATCATAATATTATGCATGTGTTTTTATTATGTTTTATGTTGTTATAACTTTTAACTTAAAATATAAACCAAAAATTAAGATAATGTAAATATAGTTGTTTTACTTAACTTGACAATTAAAAATAAAAACAAAAATCTTGATTTATACAAAACTTAAAATTGCAGTATGCACTGAGTAAAACAAATCAACTTTTGAAGTAATATTTTATTTTTAATTAATTCACCTACCGCCATAACTTCTCGTTATAATTTATTTCGTTTAATAATGTTTCTTAATTTTATCAAGTTTTATCAATATTTTAGTTTTATTTTTTGTTGTTAGTATAGTGCTTTGTTATAAATGAATATTTAAATGGAAAATCATATGAATTTTTTTTGGCAAAATCACTTGTTTCTACTTTTTAGTCATGTTTAACCTAACCGTTTTCATTGGGTTCTTTTAAAAACGGAATCAAATGAGTAGCAAAAGTTCGATAAATTTAGTTGTAAATTTCTGATTTATATCTTTTTAGAGGTGATTTTCAAGTTTCTATTGTTACACAAAATATCATTCCTATATTACGACTGTTAATATCTGCAAAGTTTTTTTTAGAATGAATTTGAGCTTATCTTTTTTTTAAATTATATTACGTTTAAATACGGTGGCGATTGTAAACATATCTATGTTATTTTTTAGTCAACGTAAAAAAATTGAGTTAATAGTCTCAAAGTTTAATAAAATTGTATTACTCCACAGTCTAGATATTTTTCTTGGGGGCATAATTATTTAAATAATTATGTTGACAGAACAACACGATGTTTGTAAGGTCAAATAATCACAAAATTCGCTGCCCAAAAGTGTTTGATGTTCAAACTAAAACGGCTGTATAATACACACATTACTGAATTTACTGTGTTCACTATAACTATTGATTAGCTTAAAGCTTTCTCACTATCAAACATAATATCTATTACCCAACAATATACAATTTCAGATTTTAAACATTTTTTTAAATGTTGTAAATGGTGTTTATATAATATAATTGTGTATAACAACTTAAAATTTATAAAAATGAAGTACAACAAATATTCATCCAAAAAAATATTGACCATCTTAATAACATATTAACGATGTCATAGCTAATAATCTGTATTAAATTCTAAACTATGTTTTTAATTAAATTTGCTGAGTAATTTTGATGCGCGCACATGAATAATTTAAAGTAGGTAATATCATATCTGAAGTGTCATAAGTCATAAACTCATAACTATTGAATGTTAGTGAAAAACTAAATACAACTTTTTTAATGTAGTTTACAATGTATTTTAGTATAGTTTGATTGTTGATGAAAATATAAAAGAGGTTAAATGTTAAATTTATGAATAATTGATCACTTATGAAGAATATTTACGTGCATATCACCGTTATTAAAATCGAAAGAGCAATACAAATTCACTTTAAAATATTAAATTATTTTTAAATATAATAGAAAGTAAGTTATTTTATTTATTTGAAACAACTTCGAAAAAAAAAAATATTAATTTTAAATCGTAATTAATAAACTAGATAAAAAATATTATACTCTTTGTTGGTCAAACATGACATTTTTGTTAATGCTCAATATCGTATTTATGATAATATTATATATTAATAAGTATAACATACAATGTATAAATTAGTTTTTGAAATTTATTTCATTAATGTTTTAAGATTATTAGTTTTGAACCAGAATTTATTCATATCATAAAAAAAAATTGTTATATGGCTTGGCCACGACGTATATAATATTTTATAATACAGCTTATAGGTTATAAATAGATGGTTTATCTTTAGTTGATTTTGCAGTCTCTGTGTTCAATTTTTATTACTTAATACACTTTCTCATTATTATTATTTCATTTTGTGTATGTAGTGATACAGAGTTTACGGTAAATTATTATTATTATTTTTTCGTTCAGTTTAAATTCTATATATAAAATTATAAATTATAAATTATATTAATTATATTATATATAGCCGTATTTTAGAATTTGTGTTATTTTCGCCAATATCATTTTTCATGAACATATTTTTTAAGTTAAGTTATGTGTTATTTTTTTTTTCATTTGATTAGATTTTTTTTATAGCATTTTCTTTTTTCGTTTTTTATGCACATCACTCTATAATACGTGTTAGTGAGGTCGGTAACACATTTTGAGTGTATATTTATTCCACTCGTTGAATTCCAGAAATGATCTTGTATTTTCGGTCAATGTTATTGGTGTTAGTTTTATTTACAACTTCTTTTATTGAGCTCACGGAATCACTTTTAATGATGGTATCATAGTTTTCCATGGCGTCAGCTTGTTATTCTATTGCTTTGGATGCAATAACATTCTGTTGTGGGTTAATAATTTATTTGATTTTTTTTTTATACTGCTCTTACATATAATTACTGTTATATTATTTATTTTTTTACGTTCATCATTATTTTATTTTAATATTATTTATTTTTTGTAGTAAAATTGTACATTTATTTTTATTTTATGCCTTTAAATGTATTTTCATACAGTAAGATTTCTAATTTAAAAAATAAAAAAAACTATAATCCACGTTGGTTTTAGACATATTTTTCTGAATATTTTGTAATTGGTCTTGAAATAAATGTCACAAATTTGGATTTTTTATATTTAACTATTTTATGATATAAATAACAAATTATTATTTTCTGGTTATTTCACAAAACAATGCAAAATATGTTATATAGCGTAGAAAGTCTAAATGGATAAAACAATGAGTTCTATAGACTATATTATATCAATCGACAATATTTACTAGTTTCGCGCACAGCTGAAAATTAAACTCAAATGGATAATAAATTAAATTGCTGAGTTTCAAATATATATTATATATATTAGTGGAATGAACACTTAAAACTGAAATTGTCACCGCTTTGAGTAGGTAAATTATGTACATATTAGTGGCAAATGATCTACCATGTTTTCATGCTGTAATATAAATTAATTTACTCATTAATATCATAGGTAAATTAATTTTTATAAAAGCTAATTATTAAACTGATTTAAAGCAATAACGAATAAAAACTTCATATCTTATCGCAAGGTAGTTATTTATCTATTTAATTAATTATATTTACCCGTGATCAAGACGTTATGTACCCATGATGACATAATTAAACTTTTTTTTATATATTTTACCCATTCACATTATTCCGAATTGGAATTCTTTTTTTTTATACTATGGACTATGAAAAGCACGCTATCTGGTTTTGTATAATTTGAGTCTGAGCATATTTTATTCAATTTTTGTAGCGTGTGATGTATACATACATTTTCCAGAAACACACTATCCGAATAATTAGATTCTGTTGTAATTATGTAATGATAGGCTCACACATAACTGTATATATATATAACCATAAAATTCAAACAAATAAATTAATGGTCAAGTTGTCGCACGCAAATTAAAACCCTATAAACATCCTTTCACCACTGATGAAAGAAACTATTTATACTATATAGTTACGAAGGGATTGATACATGATTTTTGGTAATGTGCCGTAAAGCATGTGATCCAATTTTGTGTTGCGCAGGAGACAAGGGATGGTTCAATGAGGGTCTCTGTCGCCTAGGAGAAAGCCTATTTCTTTGGAAAACGCGGAGACCTTTGATGGTGCCGTCTGCAACTCTGGCTGGCTTGACTACGTCATCTTCTCTCATCAGTGCAGGTACACCATACAAGCGAGCAAGAGCTCTTTCCAAGATCACGACACTCACAAGTTTCTGCGAGCGACAGCTGGACTTCTTCTTTTTTTTTATAAGTCAAATTAGAGTTATTTTTTTCTTATTTAAATTTAAGTTTTCCTTAAATCGTTTCGTAATTTGTGTCACCTTATATCTTTCTCCGAAGAACTTACAATAGGCATTCACTGCGGCGAATCAGGTAAGGTGCATGTATAAAATACCTATTGTTAATAAAGGTTCTTTTACTATCTAATTTACGTAACGGTGTGCTTGATTACATTCTCGGATACAAGATCTCAAGAACTCTCTGAAAAACAGGAGGAAGATAATTACGCGAGAACAAGACGTGTATTCAATAATTATTAACACCGGATTTACATTCAAGACTTGTGTCCTTTGTGTTTGTCTGGCTACACTAATTATTCTATTTTTAATTTTATACCTAATTTTTATTTTATTTTGTCATATTTTCACGTTATTATAATCATTTGGTCTGTTGATCAGCCACAATCGTAGGTACCCATTGTGTATGTATTCATCATGTTGATTATTAATAAAATGTATTATTAAATAAAAGGACAAAAACAAGAAAAAGAACAAAACGGAAAGTTATTTCCAACAACGTCTGTCCATTTTCTATAGTATGTATTTTATACAGACGCCACGTTGTTTTGTATGCCGAGTGCTGTAACAAAGCTATTTGTCTCACAACGATGAGTTTATTATTTCGGTAAAAACTTTTTAGAGTGGTAAAAGTGCTCAAAATCTTTCATTTAGCACATATATACATATATATTACGAAGTGGATACAGATCGTACTCCAAGGACAAGAAAAGATAAAAAAAGCCAGAATGACGCTTAAACGAACGTCTGTATTTTTGACAAAATATTGAGCAGAAATGTCCCGCTTTTTAAAATCGTTAAAAGAATGCGTTAGCAAACATATATGCAATTATGTATCATATAATATATGTATATCAATTGATTGGAACCACCGATTCGTAGTTAATACTATAATTAATCGTTTTAATGATAAGAATGTTATATGTTTTTTGATATAAAAAAAAAATTAAGTTTACATATTTGAGTTTCATTTCACGAACATTTTTTGAGCTTACTACATTTATTACAGCTTAAACTTAAAACGATTATTTATACCGAAACGTCTTTCATATTGATAGAAAAATTTTAAATCAAATTAATGAATAGATATGAATCTTAGTTCATCATATGAAAAACTCACAATATCATAGACTTCCAGAAGATATCTTCTAGATATCCATAAGTTATAACTAAAAAATGTTATTTTTTTTATTTGTTAGGTTCGAGATTGTGTTTAAATCATAATGGTGCTGTACTAGAAAGGAGTTTTTTTTATTATTGCTTGGTTATTTTTGTTTCTAAAATTCGTTATAGTATCATGCTATTTAAGCTACCACCAATTTAACATGTTGGCTACACTGTAAATTTTGTTTTTTTGTTTCACCTCTTTAAAATCATCATAAATAATTTGAAAACAAATTATACATTATAAATAATAACAAAAAATATTTATGCCTGATTTAGAGGGAAAATATTATTTCAATGTAAATACATTTTCTATCAGAAAAAAATAAATTGTAAAGCTCAATTATTTTTCACTTATAGCGTTAATTACAAATACCAACAAGTAATATTAATAATCATTGCTAACAATATAAAATGTAATATATATAATATTAAGCATGTCTTGAAGCAGAATACAATATTAAACAATTATATTATTTGAACACTAGTCAACAGTTCAGTTAAAAAAAAAAAAAAAAAAACCAACTTACGAATTTATTGTAAGCGATTTGAAATAAATGACATCACATGCGCTTACCAAATAATGATCGTCGTTACGAAATATTCGGTTATGCATAATATAACATTAAATACTTATATGATATCTGCACTCGATATCCGCAAAATCATTGTTTTTTCTGTATAATAGACTGTCAAAACGTCAAATTTGGAAAAAAAATGAAAAAATACGACCGTCGTAATAGAGGCCTTCTCACTTACGACATGGCATTACCGCAGTAGTCTCTATTATTACAGTATTAGGTATTATAACATAATATGATTGTTTATATTTTCAATACATTCGTCATGAACGTCTGAAACCGCGAAGACAGCGACGTTTTTTCGTGCCTACATTGAGATTTGCAGTAACGACGATGACATCAACCGCAATGGCAATAACAATATAATAATTAACAGCGGAAACGCGAGACCCTCAACCGTGTGTGCTCTATCGTCCAGGCGGCGGCGGCGGCGGCGAAGACGGTCGGTTGTCGTCGCCAAGACTCGTGCGTTATATTCTATATTACTATTATCGTCGTTATGTGTACGAGCGCAACTCGGGCGCGCTCTCTATCCGCCACCGCCACCCCTGCGAGATCGCCGCAACGCGCCGCTCACCGCGACTGTTTTCCGCCCGCCGCTACCAGTGTGCCGGGTACGCTTGACGATTGTTGATGACCGTCGTTCTGTGTGTCATCCGTCGTAACCGCCGCCCGACGATTTTCGGCACTGACGTTTACGCGCGATTTCGTGTTTTTCTCGTTTCGGGGTTTTATATTTTGTCGTGACCGACGTCGCCGCTGCCGCCACCGCCGAGTATTTTGCGTCGCGGACGAAGAAAATACAATAAAAATAATAATAATAATAATAATAATTGATATTGAGAGACATCGTTAAAAAATTAACTAGCGAGTGCCGTCGGTACGCGTGTGCGTTTTGGTTCGGTTCGTAGGTCGCCGATCGTTTAACCGTTCCCGTTTTCCATCGGAGAAATTGGATATCGTTTCGTCGTTTTGCTACCACGATCAGTGTGCACAGGTAAGCTGTTACAAACTAAACCGTGCCTAATGTTATCAACGTTGGTTATTATTTCAAATGGGTGAATAATTTCACGTGTTTGGCATTTAGTTCAATCCTACTAGGTACTACAATGGCATAGGGTTTTAGATTTCCGGCCGATATTCTTACAACGTTTCCTTCACCTACGTACCAGCGTAGCTAAATTGCCTACACTATACGCCGATCTTAAATGCGAGTTCAATTTAAAAACTTCATTGTCCACATTATTTTATGCGCGTATATTCATAACGTTTCAGGTATAGTGTCATCACTCATCAATATCATTATAACGGCAAACTTGAAAAATTCATTCAACGATATATATAAATTTCGATTGTAAATGAATGTTTTAGGGAGCCGAAACTTTTATCACGTTGGCGGTGATCGCGATGTGATTCCGCCTATGAGCGTGAACACCGCGTTCTTAAAAACACCATACTTTCAAGTTAGGTCGTAGAATAAGTGTGCAATTATTATAAATAATATTAAAATAAATTATTATTCATTTTTTTTAATCAAATTCGTTAATTTTTTTTTTTTTTAATTAATTCTATCATGAATGTGCGCATGTCTCTTATCCTGCACGCAGATACGTCATGTTATTAAGCTATGTGTGATTTACGCCTTTAATTTTATATATCTACTGTAAATATTAATATAAAATTATGATATTTACTTTGATTAAAAGTTATTTTATTAGAGAAACAATCACTAACACTAAATCCACTTGTGTCGTCACGTAAATAATACATAAACATTTGAAGTGCTAAAACATTTTAATTTTTTTTTATTATTCTATTACTAAAAAAAACCACAAATATATGACAAAAAATGTCACAATAGAAAACTTACAGTAAAAACAACTTGTAAACATATACGATCATAACATTGCTGAAATACTAAGTAAATTACCTACTTGTTTACATTACATATCTATTAAAATAATTGTGTAAATAACAATTTATATTTTTTATTTATGTTTTAATATATGCGTTTCATACACCACTATATAAATACATAAACTCAAAAAAATATATAATATATTGTTGTGTATTCTCGTAAAAACTGATAGTGTTAACAAAAATAAATTTTGTCAAATTATTTCAATTTGTACTTTCTCAAATAAATTCCGTGTAATTATTTTTCACTTAACCGTTATTATTTTATCGTACATATTAAGTTCTACGCAGTAAATTTAGAACTTCATACTTGTTGTTAGTATTCCGAAGATAATGTGGCTAGGAAAATCTTTAAAGATATGATGTTTTGTTGAATTTCCTAGTTTAGAAAAAAATGTTTTCAATTTAATTAAAATGTATTTCTTGGAAAAAATTACAAATTTTGAGTAAAAACTTTAAAACTAGCACACTACGATTGATAAATCTATTAATAATGAATATAATAAGTATTATTATTTATAAGTTTTTATAAATTTTATCTGTAATTATTTAAATCCTTTTGATTAGAATTGTTTAACTAAACAAATTTACCATCCGATCAAAAAAAAATATATATATATATATAGTTTTCTAATCATCTTATTACAATCTCGAAGATTACTGCAATACATTTAAGTTTTGGCTATGATAAGTGTTTTTTGCATGTCATGACTCACTTTTTATACAAACAACGTTTACGGAAAAGATTGTCAATATAATTCAGTGGAGAAAAACAGTTGGGTCGCATTATCACCTTCTTGTCACGTCGTCATGTTATTTTTCAACAACTTAAGTCTAACATGGTCTCATATTTTTAGTAAAAACCACGTCGATTAATATTTCATCTTTTTTTTTTTATTATTCAAACGAATTTAGTGCATTAATTATTTTGTATATTACAAATAAAAATTATTAAATGATTAATTACATTTTTTTTTTAACTTGAAAAGTAGTTACCTAATGTTTTTTCTAAAAATATGTTTGTGTAAAAGTTCTACATAATATTTGTATGATTTACATAAAAATATTATTATAATTTATTAATATAAAAAGGTCAGCTTATAAATTATAATAATTCGTTCATTTAACATAAATAAAGTTAATTTAAACTTAAAATGTATACAATATAAAATACATTTTATTAAAAAAATGTAAATTTTTGTGGAAATAACAGAAAAATTTATTTACTAGTTATTTTATTAAATATGTATACAAATATTAAGGACTCATATTAGTAATGCGCATCGTTTTAGTAAATCGTAATTATTTATGCAGCAAGTCGTTAAATTCCATCTTATTATTATAAATAAATAATGTTTGTATCACTTTGGTAAAATGTGACCTACATAATACAATGCCCGATTTTCATACTTTGTACATTAAATATAAATCTCTCCTAAGCATAACAATAATGAATTAGTAATAAACTGTGTTAAATCATTGGAATTTATTTTTGACAACTGCTTGATTTTATTATTTTCTACTCGTGATGTTAAAGAAGATTATCCTAATTAATTTAATTACACATTATATCGAGATTAATTTGTAGACAATACTAAAGACTATCATTTATGCTTATTTAATTTATTCGGGTGGTTTTAATCTATGTAGTAACAATAATTAATTGAATATAAAAGATAGATATATAAACATTTTATGTAAAATTTAAATAAAAACAACTATAAAATATAAAATAGATAAAAATTTATATGAAATTAAAAATAATCGCAATTTTAATAAAAAAATGTAGACATTTACCGAACAGTATAAGTAGTAAGCGTAGATTTTTAATACCTCCTAGGAAAGAGTGTACTATGAATTCCTCTACGTTGTGTTTTATTGTTTGAATTTTTCATTAATCTCAAAAATTTTTGAATCTGCTTTGGTTTATTTAGCCATTAGGTGATTGGACTCTCCTTGTCTGTAACATAAGCGATTAAACATCGACCATTATATTTTAGGAAGGTTAAAACCTGGACCATGAGATTTGATTCTTCGAATTATTTGTAATAATATGAGTTTTTCTTATTTTATCATTTTTTTTTTTCAATATTTCTTAATGGTTTGAAAAGTGCTAATTTTATTCGGCTAGCAGAATTTCCGTGATTTCAGTCTCATAAAAAGGTAAACTTAAAGTATCTTCGTTAATCGGTATATTAGACGTTTTAGGATATTTTTCACACTATTTCTTAAAGATATATCCTCACCTAAATGTGGAGGAATAATATTCTCAAAAAATGGTAAATGAGTTAGAGTAGTTGATTTTAGCGTTCCAGAAATAATTCACCTTGCCCGATTGAGTTGAACATTTATTTTTGTTACGTGAGAACTGTATTTCTATACATCATAAGAATACAACTAATGTGAGAGTTACTGTTCTCATAGTATTAGTCCCCTCTCATCTAGTTTCAGCTAGTTGAATTTTCTCTGTCTATTGAAGCAATAATTACATGTAGTGTATATGTATTCTTTTCTCCATTTAGCTGAAACAAAAATATATCTATTCTATCCTTAGCATCAAACAGCTAGGTGAGACCGTTAGTTGTAATCCAATCATAAAAAAACTCTCCATTTGCGTCATTTTGTTCGTATCTTCAATATCGGCGGTACTTGGCTATTAAAATTACCAATTTACAAAGAGAGGGGGGGTATAATTAATAGTTGTGAAATTGGCAATGATGAATCTGGGTGGTTTGTAATATGTAGGCTTACTATTTTAATGGTAATACTATTAATGTTATCATCTGTGACTAGAGAGTTGAGAACATCTACTTTTGTAATAACTTGGTTTGACATACATTGTTGCCTCATAAGTTAGGTTAGAAGAGTTACCAAATGGAAACCTGATATAAACAACCTTTTCCTAAGATTCTCTTCATAAATTGAATGTATTTCTTGAAGAACTATAACTTTTCTATTCGATTCTTTTCAGTTATTTTTGATAATATATCAAATTTTGATCTAGAAATGCCTTTAATATTTATTATTTAGATGACATACTTAATGAGTATGTCAAGAATTTCGTATTAGGGAGTTACATGTTTTATTACATATTAAATTATATGGCCGTTTTAAATATTTACCATGAAGATGATTCAATGAAATAATTTTGTCTAAAACAATTAAATAGGTGAAATTAAATAATATATTTGATAATTACTATCAATATTTACAAAATAAATTACTATTTTATATTTATTTTTTAATATAAAAGAAACCAGAAAATGTTTTGTCATAATAATTATTTATAGTCAGCTCATTTTTATCAAATAAACTAAAAACTTTATTTGAAAATATTTCATATTTATTTTTCTAGTCACTGTTGATATTTAATTGATTGTTTCACAAATAGCTAAATTATTAAAATCATAATATTTAATACTTTTATATAAACACACAGCATACACATTTATATGCATATTATATTACAGCAAAAAATCTATAGATTTCATGAGTATTTACTAATTTAAAATGATTGTATAATGGATTTTGCAATACTTTTACCACGTAAAATAATAAATCTTGATAGGACAATATATTTATAATATATATATATATGTATATGTATTTATTTTACAAACAACTAAGAATCATTTTAAAACATAATGATTGTGAATTTTCAAATGTTAAAAAAATAAAATCAGTAATTACACATTTGTAATAAAGTTTAATATTTGCATTTTTAAATTGGAAAAATCTGTCAGGACACATATAAGCCGGATATTGAGCACACAAATTGCTTAGCTTACCTTTGCGTAGTATAGTAATGTATGTATTTATAATACATTTTAACGCAGTAATAAATCTTCACATTCCATAAGCAATTTAAGGTAGAAGCCGCGTTACTATTTAGCGTTGATCAGGTGTGATAAGAACTATATGCTCGAAGCTGAAACAAAATATTTAAAAAAACTTAAATCAAATTTATTGAAACCTCTCTAACACTCATTCTTTTTAGATTGTCTTTAATTATTTCTTGAGTTTGATAAAAAAGTGAAATTTACAAAATTACTTTAGCAGTATATATATAAAATTCTAAAT